AATTACCAACCAAGACCACGATGAAGTAAAGGGATAAGGAAGTTGCTATAATTTAGGAGGTATATTATATATACAAAATTTCTTAAATTACGTGGTCTAACTTAGGTGCTACAAAGAAGGAATGGATCAACTAATTGGCTTAAATCATGGAAAGAGGATAATATAGGACACTTGTTGTGCATTGGCTTTAATAGATGAATGAGGCCAATAACATGTCTACATTCATTATAACTGAAGTATATATATACGTCAATGAGTATATGGCGTGAACGAATTCAGGACCAGAGAGCAAAACATGGTTAGAAACGTCGGACACATGGCATCGCCGGAAGAATACTGTAGTTCGTGAGTCAGCTCAACGTGGGACAAATGTTTTGTTAAGAGATGATGAAAGGGATGGGGTGATAGGACATGGGGTATTCTTGTAAAAGGCATGCATGTCTATAAATAGAACACTTAGAGCTGCATGTAACTCTCCCTCAATGACATAAAACAACTTTAAATACTTGGTCATTTTATTCCTGCAATTTCAATACAAGTTAATTTCAATTCATTTACATTTATTATTATTATTATTATTATTATTTTTTACACTATCTAAACTAACATCCCCAATGGTCAAGATATCATCCTTAACAATAAGTGAGAATGAGAGACCCACCAAATCACTTAAAAAGTGCTTATCAACATACACCGCCTCACACACAGTCTAAAAACACTCATGACCATTGCCTACGAAAAAGTAAAAGACAACTTCTAGAGAAAATGTGCATGACATCAGCCACGATGTCATAGCATCCCCATCACCAAGCCACCGGCAATCACAAACTTGTAAACCCCAGGAGCACGCCGCCGGCGAAAGGAACCGAACCACCGACCAGGCCACGGACTGCTTAAATTGAACCCTATGACTAGAAAATGTTGGAAATAGTGGCCTAGTTACACACACAACTCTATACTATTTGGAAGAGAATAAAAATGGAGGAAGAACACTTTTTATTTCACTTGATCATACTCTAAAATGACTAAAGTACATGATTATATAAGCCTCACATATGTATGCATAACCATGACATTTAAAGGCCTAATTACATCCATTATTCCCACTAACATAACCATTAGTAGCATAACTCCCACTAACATAGTATTTAAGAGACTTAATTCCTATACCTCTTAGTCTTACATAACCTTCTCCATCAAGACCATTTACTACCCCACTAACATGAAATGCACACATGCATCATGTATGCCAAATACTTGAAAATATAATTACAACTAAAATTCTAAAATCAAGTTTATTTTCAACACCCCCCTTTAAACTTGATTTTGTAACTTGAAAGTAAACTTCTTATTGATCTTGGGGGCTCGATCAAAAGTTTGTTACTTTGTCTTGATTTCCACCTCCTTCAATTGCAACAATCTTCTTGGCCATTTCCATTGATGTATATGGCTTGTGAAAAATCTTCAAATGCTTGTTTGATGTCTTCACATAATTATATATCATCCTCTTTATATAAACGCACTATCAATCTTTTTTCTTCTTGAATCTTTTATGACTCTTCAATTTCACATATGCTTCTTCTTTAGAGTCAAAAAATAACTCCATATTCACCCAACCTGTGTCAATTACAAAACTCTCCAAACCATTTTTCAAAAAATAATTTGAGAAATTATTATCATCTTGAGCTTCAATCTCATACTTCGTTAGAATAACTTTCTCCAATAAAAGTTCATCATTCTCCAGAATATGAACACAATTATCATAATATTTGATTTTGCTTTCCAATAGAGATGAATATGAAAAAATCAAAATTTTATCAAATAAGTTATATCTAACTTCTTTGAATTTGGAATTCGGAACCATACCTGAAACTGTTAACTCACCAATTTCATCAACTTTTGCCTCTTCTTTAGCACTTTCTTCTTCTTTAATTTCTCTTTTCACTTCAATCTCATCAACTTTTTCAATATCTTTTTTAACACCTTTCTTTATCTCTTCCTTATTCTCTATTTCACTTTGGCCTTCAACTTTTGAATCTTCAATTTCTTCAACTTCATTTGTGTTGTACGCCTCTTCATTCTCCACAAATTTCTCCTTAAGACTTTCATAATCAGCCTTCGTAAACTCATCATCCTCAATGCATTGTACCCAATACTCCATGGGTCGTGATTCACTTCTATGATTAGAAACGATGGTCTCGATCATCTTCCAAACACAACTTGGAGTTTTGGACTCTCCAAAATACTCCCAAATTTCTTGATGTATTACTTTCTGCAACACTACCAATGTCTTTTCTTCTTTCTTTTCTCGAAGCTTGTTAGACATGCCATTCTTTGGCTCTAATCCAACAACATCCCACAAATCACATGCTTTGAGATATGAAGTCATGATGATTCTCATTCTCCTGTAATTAGAGAACATCATCTTCTTACTAAGAAAATACATTTTCTCCCCTTCATCATCATCAAGGAAAAACATGTTTTTCTCAAATGTTGAACCTTTTAGGATCAACTTCGTCAGGCCTTCAGGATCGTCTAGGTTCTGAATATAAAATCTGGCTCTGATATGTTGAAACCTAGCTCTGATACCACTTTGTTGGCTTTTGCTCTGATACCACTTTCTGACTTTACTCTGATACCATTTTGTTAGAAATAGTGGCCTAGTTACATACACAACTCTATACTATTTGGAAGAGAATAAAAATGGAGGAAGAACACTTTTTATTTCACTTGATAATTCATATTCTAAAATGACTAAAGTACATGATTATATAGGCCTCACATATGTATGCATAACCATGACATTTAAAGGCCTAATTACATCCATTATTCCCACTAACATAATCATTAGTAGCATAACTCCCACTAACATAGTATTTAGGAGACTTAATTCCCATACCTCTTAGTCTTACATAACCTTCTCCATCAAGACCATTTACTACCCCACTAACATGAAATGCACACATGCACCATGTATACCAAATACTTGAAAATATAATTACAACTAAAATTCTAAAATCAAGTTTATTTTCAACAGAAAACACCAAAAACAACATCCATTTTTTAATAGCAAACAGAACTCTTCACCACGGGCCAACAAATTAAAGAACAGAGCATCCCACTAGGATAACCCAGATGCGTCGGCAACCGAGAATTAGGAGAAATTGATTTCGCCAACCAAGCCCGACACGGTGAAACCTTCACCCAAAACGAAAAGGGAGGCAAACCACGAGATCTGAAAGGCAAAAGACACGAAGATAAAATAATACTAACATAAAACACAAGAACTAAAAGCAATACCGGGATCTAAAATAAAATTGTGCACTGATGGGTCATCAAATCGTCCAAAACAGAAAACCCCCGGATACACATCTCGCTGTGCACAGTTGCCGGTTCTACAAGGAATGAAAGGAAAACCTAAGAGCACCATAGAGGAAACCATTCGGAACAAAAGAACAAAAGGAAATTCAAAGAAAATACTCTGACAAACAGAGAATCTCTTAAGAAAAGAGAAAAGGAGAAAGGAAAATTTTGATGAACAGAGAAGAGAAACCTGGATCAAGATGGAAAGAAGAGGTGGAGGATCTTAAGGGTTTGGGGTTGCTCTCTCTAGCGCTGCCCCAAACCCTTCACTCTTTAACATATAGCGACTTAAACACACGTTTGTAGGTTGTGATTGAAGAAGTGTAATTTATTTTTTTTTCTTTCCTGAATATTGTATTTTTTTGTTTTATAAATATTCAAAAGAGTATAATTACAATAGGAGACTGATCTCCTATCTCTTAAAAAGAAATTGACATTCCAATTCCAGCAAACAACCTATCTCAAAATAAAAAACATTACAAGTCAAAAACAATCAAAAGGTCACCTAAACTAATATTTAGAAATGTGATTACATGAGAGCTCCTGTTCCTGTATTCCTCCATGTAGCATGGCATTCCTATTGGACCATATCTTCCAAATGGTAAGTGGAAAAATACCATTTAAGCTCTTGGATTTAATAGACTTGGACACAATATTAGGCAAAAACCAGTCAACAATGTGATTCAGACTTCTAAAACTTTGATCCTCAATGTGCAACATATCAAAAATCCCTCCCCAAATCTCGGAAGCAAATTCAGGAAGTGTAATTCATTTACATTAATGCACTTGCACTTTAATTCATTAGTTAGCAATGTAGTCTTGTTAAAGTCAAAGTTCTTCGAAGGCACAACGAACCATTCACAATCGCCTGATCGTTTCAACAGGTGTTCCTCATGTTCGATTTTTTCTTAATCTTTTGAGATTCTGGCACACCTGCACACTTCCAGTGTCCCAATTTTGTGCAAACACAGAGCCACATCTTCACAATCAACACTTTGCAGATCTTTGAGTGCAAGTACCTTACGTTGCCTGGATCAGGCTTGGATGACGGCCAAATGATGACTGACTCGATTCTTTAACTGTCCGGGTCTTTCAAGACGTCATCCAGGTCAAGTGGTAGCGGCACCACCGCCGACGGTGGAGTCGATTGGAAGACTGTTGCTTGCACCGCCACAACGGAGATTGTGAAGAAGAAGCGAAGCAGTTTATCAGCTTTTCGGGCGGCGTGTCGATCGATATAGTTTTCGGTGATGAAAATCTCCCGGAAGATTACGCCTCACCGATCACCACTTTATTAATATGTGTACGGACGAGAGAGAAATGGAGTAAGGAGGTCTGGGACCTTTGGGAGGGGTGAAGAGGAGGAAAAAGACGGGGATATTTAATTGACATTTTACATAAGGATATTGGAACAATGCGAATCACTTTTTAAACGTATAAAGGTTTTCTTAAATAGGTTGGGTTTTATAATTTTATCCCTACATTTAATAGAGCAGACATGTTTCATGTTTGATCTCAGTCCAGAAAAATATAAATTACATAAAAAAAAAAAAAAAAAAAAAATTGAACTCAAAGCAATACATTTTTAACCCACTTGAACAATCCAACAAACACAAACAACAAATCAAAGCAACACAGAGAGCACAACAAACTCATATACCAAAGAACAAGGGCCTGTTGTATGTACAGCCACATGGTACAATTAATAATCATCCGGGTAAACAACGAAAACACCCGGCTACTTCATGTTAATTTAATTTAACTTTTTTTGGTTTTCTTACCGTAGATATATATCATTTTATTTAACCTACAAACACAACCTTCATCAATACCATAAATTATAATACAACACCACCACCGCCGGCGGCGCAGCTTTAGCTGCCTCCGACCTGGGCTTCCTGTTGTCCAATTAGCTCCGGCCTAATTTTCTTATCCCACAGCTCATGGTACAAGTCTGCATTGCCAGCTCTTTGTCTAACCTCCACAACCACCAAGTCATCGGTCAAGGCAAAAACGTCTAGCCGAATAGTAAAATTACTATCCTGCCCTTCAAGGTCCAAGCCAAATTCCTTCTTTCTCCCTATCCTAAAGTTCTCGCGCTTGGCTAGTTCTTCAACTTTCTCGATTATCTTCTCCGGTGAACCGGCTGATACCAATCTCTCGCCGTTGTTCACTGAGCTACTCGACTCATCGAACAAACCGGAGAGATTCAAACCAGACGAGAACGAGATTATATCGAACGCGTTGAGTGAATTACCTTTTAAGTCGTCTTTGAAATCGTCGATATATTCATCGTGAAACTTCACCTCTTTGTAGTCTTTCTTGAACCAGGGATCATGGGTGATCTGATCAACGGTGATCCTCGTCTCGGGATTCGTGTCCAGAAGCCGAGACAAGAACCGTTTCAGATCATTCGACATCCATTTAGGGCAACGAAACTCGCCTTTGTAGATCTTCTTATACATCGTCATGAGATTCGGATCATTGAACGGAAGATAACCGGCGTTCAACACGTAGAGGATGATTCCGCATGACCACACATCCACCTTCGCACCATCGTAACCTTTCTTCGTCAGAATCTCCGGCGCCACATACGCCGGCGTACCGCACAGAGTGTGTAACAGTCCGTCGGGTCGGATCTGATTTGTGACAGCACTGAGTCCGAAATCCGTAACCTTCAAATCGCCTTTGTCGTCGACGAGGAGGTTCTCCGGCTTCAGATCTCGGTGGTAGACCCCACGCAAGTGGCAGTACCCGACGGCGGAGATCAGCTGCTGGAAGAATTTGCGGCTGAGATCTTCGCTAAGCCGTGCCTTTGCAACCTTCGCGAAGAGCTCACCTCCTTTGACAAACTCCATGACGAAGTATATTTTGGTCTTGGTGGCGAGGACTTCGTAGAGCTTGACGATGTTGGGGTGGTGCAACCGGCGCATGATAGAGATCTCGCGCTTGACGTTGGACATCAAGCTGGTTCCGACGATCTTCTTCTTGTTGATGATTTTGACGGCGACGCTCTGGCCGGTCCTGGTGTCTCTGGCGTGGTAGACCTTGGCGAATGCGCCGCAGCCGAGGAGCTTGCCGAGCTCATATTTGCCGAACAAGGCGTTTTCCGACGACGCCATTGTGGTGGGTACAACATGTTCGATCTCTGGCATGGATGATCCAGAGATCGAACGGACTTTTCGTCGATCAGAAGATATGGTAAAGGAGGATAATTTGTTTTCCGAGCGAACGGAGGCGCCCGAAAATAGGGATTTGGTTGACTGGAAGATTTTTTTGATGAGATTTTGAAGAAGAGAAAAACAAGTTGAATTGCGATTTTATTGGATGTTTGGGGAGTTTGTGTGGCTTATAAGAATAGGAGAGCTGCCAGCCTGCCATAGCCGTGACAGCGAGGAAGAGGAGAGAGAAAGAGAGGTTTCTAGTTGCTTGGAATTTTCCATACGCGATACACGTGGCAGTTTAAGGGCTGAAAAGTGAACACGGGTTGTACATGTTTTTCCGTAGCCCAACTACGTGTTACTGTAATGTAAATTTTTATTTTTATTTTTATTTTTATATATATAAAAAACTTATTACAACAGTAAGATTGAGGTCCACAAAAATTCAAAGCGCGAAAGTGACACTATATACTTTTGTACTTAAATTTCTTTATTATCAAATGCAAGTTCAGTTTTTACTTTTAAATTAAATTTAATTACATTTTAAAAAGGTCGATAGTTTATTTTGTCGGTAAACATGTATGATAATTACTCTTTGTCATATCTTCTTAGTTAATTAGCTCAGTAATTCATGGGATTTTTTTTTAAAGTTTCAATATGAAATTGAATTCTCCACTTTACATTTAGAAATGTTAGAAAATATCAATATCTAATTTAATTAGATTGTACAGCATAATTGACGGACTATTTTATTTAAGAGTCATTGATTTCTAATGAAGAATATATATATATTTATTGTTTATAAGAAACACTCATCTTGTCTTTTTAAAAACTCAACTCTTAACACCTACTTTCAGAGGTAGATCATTAAGCCAGAAGACGTTTTGTCATTGAAGTAATATCATAATTGTTTAGGAGTTAAAATTGATTATTTGATTCTTTATTGGAGGAAAGAAAGAAAAAGTAATCAGCTAGTGTGCTTTTTAATTTAATCAAACTGAATTCATAGCTATTTTATACAAAGTGATCGATGATTGTGGAATTGAAACTGGGAATTGTTTAACATTGAGCTTCAATGTAAAAAGGCGTTCAAGATTTAAAGTAGAGTGGGTGGACCTAAAATTACTTTCTCTTTTGAAATGAAGACTGGACTTGTGGGTTGGAGGTTGGAAGGTAAATTTTGCGAAAAACGCGTGTTTGGACTTATTATTGATGGCTGGTCCACAAGTTCGTCAGACGGTGGCCGGTGGCGGTGGGTGGGTGGTCGGTATCTAGCACTCTAATATTTAATTATTTAATCCGGCAAGGTGGCAATAAAGGATTTGATGCTGATATAATGATGCAAACAATTGCATAGAGTCTGATTATAAATTCAGACTTCTACTTTAATATATTTTTTAAAAAATGGATATTCATTTGATGCATTTGATCAATATATATATATAAATATTTGTCCATGTATTGAGGGCCTGTGTAATTTCCCGAAAAAAACAACTTAGACGTTTTTAATTACATTAAAGAAAAGGCTAAAAAAAAAAAAAAAAGGTTTACTTCCCCGCCTTTGTTTAAAATACATGTTAAAAGTATGACCAACAATCAAATAGACCTTAAGCACAGAATGATCCCCAGATTTTCATTGTTATATTTGTTTTTATATATAAACAAATTTTTTTATTTTTTGATATTGCGAGTCATATCTCATCTAATATTTAACTTTTTAAAATTGTTTCTAATGGTTGTATCCTATATCATTTTTAGTAGTCCTCGATCTATGCAAATTAGCAGCCATACGTCCTACTTTTATGCAAATTATTTGAAAAAATTAACAAATATTACCTAGTACGTCAAAATTTTAACATGGAGCCACTTCATCTTTGTAAATCATACAAAAGGTCAAATTGGTGGGTTTCCCCTAAACACCATATCAAAATTTAGAGATGCATTGAATCTCTTAATTTATTTATTTATAATATTTAACTTTCAAAACTCTGTATATATAGAGAAAACACATATATAAGTTATTGAAAACTAGATAATAGATTCATTTCGGATATGGTCAAGCAGTTTACTTGCTAGATTTTGGAGTTTAGTAAGTTCAAGTCTAGAGTTCGAGTCCCGTTGGGTGTTCTTTGTGGGTAGCCTCTGCTGCCTTTGCGGTGACTTATCCGATCCGAGTAGGGAGGTGCCCTTTTGAGTTCTTGGAAATTAGTAGAGTTGTTGAAGAATTCCAAGAGTTTGTGCAATCTCGAACATTCGGGTTAACAAAAAAATAAAAAAATAAATAATATAGATAATAGGGACACGAAGATACATCAACATCACACAAGACTGAAGAGTAATGGACTTTTAGGTGTTGTTCATCATCTTCAGGAATGTGTGATGGACCTAATTCCACGTATGAAACTTAGTTACAAAGGAAAAGGTGCGCATTTGAAAGTTAGATTGGGTTTCGCATTTTAATCCAAAAAAATCTGCGTCCACATTAAAACATTTTGTTGAAACCATTACATATATATATACATATATGTATATATATATATATATAATCAAAAAATAAAAATAAAATAAAAAATTTCAGTGAGAGTAACTTCATAAATTTTTTAATACAGTTGGGATATTCCCTACCACTAGTCCTATGGTCCCATTGCGACTGGAGGGAGCCTAGGAAACCAAGGGTGAAAGGTGTGGATGTGATTAAATGTACGACCCAAAAACAAGTTTAATGTCGATGTCTTATCCTCGAAAGTCCTTGCCATTTAAAGCTTTCATTTTCGTTTAAAAGATAATACGGAATATGTGTTTACAACCAAATAAGGAGTCTTTTCATTGTTGTAGCGTCAAAATGATATGATTTTCTGTCATATGAACAACATTTTGTCTTCATGTAATAATAATAATAACTTTTTAAAATAATGATTGTGTTAAATCTTTTAAAACATTTCATAATTTATCATCAAATACATATAAATTTTTTTACTCCGAATAAACAAATATTTTAAAATAATAATAGTGTCAAGTCTTTAAAAATATCTTATAATTTTTTTTTTTTAACAAGACAAGAAGGGTTAGAAATTAGATTAGTAGGTATAAATAGTCGAAACCTGTCGCTCTCAAAATTCACCAGAGGCACTAACCACTGGACTATCGTGACATTTGCAAATGTTTCATAATTCACCATCAAATACATAAAATTTTTCTGCTCCAAATATAATAGACAATTATCGAGAATTAAAGAGTCTTTTCGTTATTGTAGTGTTAAAAGGTCTAATTTTTTGTCATCTGAACGTCATTTTTAGTTAAACAAATAAGAAGCCTTTATGTATTAATAATAACAGTATTATTTTTAAATGATGGTGGCATCATATCTCTTAAAATAATTCATAATTCACAATCAAATACATACAAATTTTTTGCTCCAAATATAGCATACAATTATCAAGAATTTTTTAAAAAATAATTTTAAGAGGAATCGAACATTAAAAAAAGTGAGAAGAATGTTTGCTATTAAACTATTTCCTTTGAAATTATTCACCTTTAAAAATATAGTTTTGAATTTTATGGCAACATGGGCAATTTATAGTTTTTATACCTTCCGGCATCAGCAGGTAACAAGATTTCCAAGCAAGTTAACGTGTGAACTTTTAGGTGGAAAAAAGAAGAAGAAAGAACGTGTAAACTATTGAGTTTGATAGGCATATCCGTATAATAGTAGACACGTGTAAAGCATTTACCAAACTTCAGTAAAAAATATCATATTTTGATGTGATTGTACATTTTGTAGCAACCTTTGCTTTTATGACCCCTACAAAATGAAAAACACGTTTTCATGGCTTTTACAATTTTATACAATTATTTTACTTGTGGGGACATATAAAGCAGATCAAACCAACCTAAAAAAGAAAAAAATATTCATACACCATTTAAAAATAAATTGTGTATGAATATTTGTAAATCATACAAAAGGTCAAATTATTAGCAAACATTTGTAAATCATAACATGGAGCCACTTCATCTTTGTAAATCATACAAAAGGTCAAATTGGTGGGTTTCCCCTAAACACCATATCAAAATTTATAGATGCATTGAATCTCTTAATTTATTTATTTATAATATTTAACTTTCAAAACTCTGTATATATAGAGAAAACACATATATAAGTTATTGAAAACTAGATAATAGATTCATTTCGGATATGGTTAAGCGGTTTACTTGTTGGATTTTGGAGCTTAGTAAGTTCAAGTTTAGAGTTCGAGTCCCGTTGGGTGTTCTTTTTGGGTAGCCTCTGTTGTCCTTGCGGTGACTTATCCGATCCGGGTAGGGAGGTGCCCTTTTGAGTTCTTGGGAATTAGTAGAGTTGTTGAAGAATTTTAAGGGTTTGTTCAATCTCGAACATTCGGGTTAACAAAAAAATAAAAAAATAAATAATATAGATAATAGGGACACGAAGATGCATCAACATCACACAAGACTGAAGAGTAATGGACTTTTAGGTGTTGTTCATCATCTTCAGGAATGTGTGATGGACCTAATTCCACGTATGAAACTTAGTTACAAAGGAAAAGGTGCGCATTTGAAAGTTAGATTGGGTTTCGCATTTTAATCCAAAAAAATCTGCGTCCACATTAAAACATTTTGTTGAAACCATTACATATATATATATATATATGTAATCAAAAAATAAAAATAAAATAAAAAATTTCAGTGAGAATAACTTCATAAATTTTTTAATACAGTTGGGATATTCCCTACCACTAGTCCTATGGTCCCATTGCGACTGGAGGGAGCCAAGGAAACCAAGGGTGAAAGGTGTGGATGTGATTAAATGTACGACCCAAAAACAAGTTTAATGTCGATGTCTTATCCTCGAAAGTCCTTGCCATTTAAAGCTTTCATTTTCGTTTAAAAGACAATACGGAATATGTGTTTACAACCAAATAAGGAGTCTTTTCATTGTTGTAGCGTCAAAATGATATGATTTTCTGTCATATGAACAACATTTTGTCTTTATGTAATAATAATAATAACTTTTTAAAATAATGATTGTGTTAAGTATTTTAAAACATTTCATAATTTATCATCAAATACATATAATTTTTTTGCTCCGAATAAACAAATATTTTAAAATAATAGTAGTGTCAAGTCTTTAAAAATATCTTATAATTTTTTTTTTTTAACAAGACAAGAAGGGTTAGAAATTAGATTAGTAGGTATAAATAGTCGAAACCTGTCACTCTCAAAATTCACCGAAGGCACTAACCACTGGACTATCGTGACATTTACAAATATTTCATAATTCATCATCAAATACATAAAATTTTTCTGCTCCAAATATAATAGACAATTATCGAGAATTAAAGAGTCTTTTCGTTATTGTAGTGTTAAAAGGTCTGAACGTCATTTTTAGTTAAACAAATAAGAAGCCTTTATGTAATAATAATAACAGTATTATTTTTAAATGATGGTGGCATCATATCTCTTAAAATAATTCATAATTCACAATCAAATACATACAAATTTTTTGCTCCAAATATAGCATACAATTATCAAGAATTTTTTTAAAAATAATTTTAAGAGGAATCGAACATTAAAAAAAGTGAGAAGAATGTTTGCTATTAAACTATTTCCTTTGAAATTATTCACCTTTAAAAATATAGTTTTGAATTTTATGGCAACATGGGCAATTTATAGTTTTTATACCTTCCGGCATCAGCAGGTAACAAGATTTCCAAGCAAGTTAACGTGTGAACTTTTAGGTGGAAAAAAGAAGAAGAAAGAACGTGTAAACTATTGAGTTTGATAGGCATATCCGTATAATAGTAGACACGTTTAAAGCATTTACCAAACTTCAGTAAAAAATATCATATTTTGATGTGATTGTACATTTTGTAGCAACCTTTGCTTTTATGACCCCTACAAATTGAAAAACACGTTTTCATGGCTTTTACAATTTTATACAATTATTTTACTTGTGGGGACATATAAAGCAGATTAAACCAACCTAAAAAAGAAAAAAATATTCATACACCATTGCAGTATCAATTGCAAATTTGCAATCTGGGTAATAAATGTATTATATATTATTTTGTTTCGGTAGAAAATGCATCAACCTTAATTCAACAACCTTTCAAACATTTTATTATTTTAATTTTATTTTATTTTTACTTTTTTTTGTCATTCAAAGAGAAAAGATTTAAAGTAAAGATGCAGTACATAGGTATAAAGCCAAATCAGAAAAGACATACAAATCATGAAATAAAGCAAATAAATGAAGAACATGCTCTAAATTTGTGGAGGAAACAGAGCCCAACACTCTGTAAACGGAATCACAACGGGAGAAATGGAGAGACCGAAAGGTCTGGCCATCAGCACGGCAACGGCTCCAAAGTTGTAACCACAAGGCGCTCCGACACATAAAATCCCACACAAGATCCAATCAAGGAGAAAATAATCAAATCTAAGCGGGAAAAAACCCAAAACCGGCCTAGATCAGAGATCTAATCAAAAGAGAGCAACAGATCTACCAACGTGAGACGAAAACGAAACAAATAAGAGCAGATCGAGCCGAACATAAATAAAAACGACCTAAAAAACACCCGCAGAACGCACTTATTTAAACACGTCGGGTTTATTGCATTCGGGGGAGGCAGTAAGCAGCTCCCCACTCCCATGGAAGGGAGCACCAAAGGAAGAAGACGATGGCTACTATAAAGAGAGAAAGGTAGAGAGAGGTGGGAACGTTTTGAGCGTAAAATATTTATAAAAATCTTAATATTTTTTTGATTGTCTTAAAATATTTAGGTAGGAAAAAAATATTAAAATTTAACAAAAATAATTTATTCATTCATTTTCAATAAACTATTTCACATGCACCACTTGATGGACTCAACATTAATTTTGACCTAAACATGCCAAAACAAACCGAAGGTCTTATAATTGTCCTTCCACTATATTTTATATAACTTTATGGCAAAGTAAATTAGAATTCAATTCATGTTGTCTACTAAATTCAAAAGTGAAATCAATAAGCGCATAACAAGTGATGAAAAATGAACCCGATTTGATCTAATCAACATTGTAAGAAACAAAATGAATTGAACTAAAATACTAACTGCCATCGACATGCCCAATTAAAATTCTTTTTCCACATAATTAGATTTTGGCTATCAAACTCACTCGAACACGTGTGCATCTGTTCGAGTTTCCCTAATTTAATAAGAATAACAAAAAAATGAAGAGGTGGTATGTCCGACGCTCTTCCTATTCTAATCTCATCTTATGAAATGTAAGACCTCTAACTGAATAACGCTGAACTTCTTGCTCAAAAGACCAGAGGCCCAGCCCAACTCCTTTGTTAATACATATTGGTCAGTGATGCTTAGTTTAGGACAGAAGCCCAACTCTAGAAGACCTCACTGGATTTGATCAATATTGGGCTTGGGCCTGGTCACTAAGCTAGTAAGCTATTGATGGCAGACGCAGACGCAACATTGGTTTTCGGAATTTTAACTGGGAGTACTTCCAAGTTCCAACAGATACAGATTCCCTCTCTTTTCCCCAAAAATACGAATACTAGCCGTTCCTCTCTCTCTTTCTCGTCGTGTGCGTACTATATATATATATATATATATATATATCGGGAACATCGAAAGCGTGGAAACAGCGTCGTTTTATGAGCAGAGCCTTCGATCAATCTATATCAGATCAATCGAAGAGTATTCGAAATCAAACTCTGTAGACTGTAGCTCTTCACTCACTATTTCATTTAGATCTTCGATGCTTTCGGGTTGTGGAGGAACATACATTGTGGTATTGCACAGGTAATGTCGTCATCTCGTCTGGTTGTTCTATAACTCAGGGTTTCAAAAACTTTTTTTACTCTGGTATTGTTGCCTCATTTGAATCTTTACTTCTGTCAAAGCTAAATCTTCTGTCTTGAGCTGTTTTGGAGCTTCTAATTTCAAAAATAAAAACAAAACCCTTAATTTTGTGTTCACTTTTTTAAGTTTTAAGCTCAAATGCAATTTTTTTTTTTTAATTTTTTTTTTTATTCAATTGATTTGAGTCCTTAGAACCAGATCAAGCTTAAACCCTAGTGTTCACTTTTTCAGTATTAAGCACAAATGCAAATGCTTTTTTTTAGTTAGTTTGTAAATTATTGGAGTATGTTCCAATTGATTTGAATCCTTGGAACCAGAGCAAGCTTAAACCCTAGGTTAGTTATTTATTTTGTTTTTGTGTCTCTCTCTTTCTGCTTTTTTCTTTAATGCTTTATGCATTCTTAGATCACTTCTCTAAGAATTTTCTACCTTATTCTGGAAAAAGAATTAGCTTAAGTCGTTTAGTAGTAACTAGTAGATCTTTTTATCACTAATCATTTTTGAAGGGTTTGATAATAGAGTCTGGGAATGGAATATGCAACTAAACCATCTTCTAGATCTTCTTCAAATGTATCCGAAATTGTCCTTAAATTAGCCAAAGTCTGCAGATTTAGGTCCATTGGTGTCTTCTCCACCGAAAATCCCAACCACCACCAATACCCCAAGAACAACGACAGCAACAACAATGCCTCATTCACTGAAAACAGCAGTGATGTGACTGAGGAGGCGGAATGCCAAGATGAGAAAGTTCATCCTCAGCTTGCTGAGATTTTAAGTGAAACTAGCGAGTGTGCCAATGTGGATATGTTGAAGTTGTTTGACGCTATCTCAGCTATCAAATCAGCTTATGTTCGGCTCCAAGAAGCTCACATTCCATACGATGCTGAGAAAATCAAAGCGGCCGATGAATTGGTTGTGGCTCAGTTTCAAGCACTATGCAAGATTAAGCGTTCCTATAAAGAAAAGCAATTTGAAGAAGCCAATGCAGTTTCTGTTTGTTCAGCTCTTCTGTTAGCAGAAATTCAAGTTCACGAGAGGCTGTTGAAGAAACTGAAGTCCCAAATCAAAGTCAAAGACGCTCAGATACTCAACTTACAGCAAGAATTTCAGGATTTGGATTTGAAGAATAGAAAATTTGTTCAAGAGTTCAGGCAGAGAGAAAGGGAGAATGTGAAAGTTTTAAATATGTCTTCATTTGAGGAGATCGTCAAAGCAGCTTCAAAGGGCATTCATGATTTTGCCAAGCCGTTAATTGGCTTGTTGAAGGCTTCGGGTTGGGATTTAGACAAGGCAGCAGACTCGATTGAAGACTCAGTTTTGTATTGCAAGAGGTCCCACAAGAAGTACATATTTGAAGCTTACGTTGCCCGGAGGATGTTCTATGGTAATTCAAACCAATTCTACAATGTTGATGGCATACTGAATTTTGATGACCCCATTGATTCTCTAATCAGAGAACCAGATTCGAGTTTTGCCAAATTTTGCAGAACGAAGTACCTATTAGTAGTTCATCCAAAGATGGAAGCATCGTTCTTTGGGAATTTGGATCATAGGATGTTTGTGTCTAGTGGAAGGCATCCCAGGACACCCTTCTACCAAGCCTTCGTCAAAATGGCCAGGTGGATTTGGGTTCTACAAGGGATTGCAGCCTCATTTAATCCCAAAGCTGAAATGTTTGGAGTCAAGCGAGGAAGCAAATTCTCAGATGTTTACATGGACTGTGTAGACGATCCTAAAGAAGACATGGTTGTTTTTGACGAAGGAAGAGCAAAATTGAAAGTTGAGTTTATGGTCATGCCTGGATTTAGATTCGGAAATACATTGGTCAGGTCTCTGGTTTATCTCTCCAAAATGAGATCCTCTGACAGTTAATGGTAGGAGGACGAGCTCTTACGTACTAACTGGTATTTTAACAAAACCTAATCCTTTTTGTTATGGATTTGTCCACTGCTCTAAATGTTGAATGTGGGATGTTGATTCACTTTTTGCCCCAAATATTGGAGTTCGTGTCTTTGATAAGTAGAACTACTTTACTTTCGGGATTGAACCCACAAGTTCAATGCTTGTACTTTTTGGGGAATGTCTTTTAAATTTCTCACTTATGAAGTGAAGGGATATTTTTCTTTTTTGACTTGCCAAAAGAAAAGATTATTATTATTATTATTTTTTGCTATCTGAATTTTAAGTAGACATTCAGGGAAAAAAATTAAATAAATTTATAGTTTTTGATACTGTTGTATTAATCACATATATATACATGTTGATAACTGATTATTGTATAGAACTTGCCATCTTAAGTATGGGCAGTAGGACGATGAATCAGTAGACTCCATTGCTTGATTTAGTTTTTTTTATTAATTTTTATAGATAAAAAAATTAGGTGCATGTTAAATTACCAAAAAATAAAGTCCTTCACTGGAAGTCCCTGCATATATTTAGTGCCTGTTTGGCGTGGCTTTCTGAAGCTCTAAAACGGACTTCCTAGCTTAAAAAGGCATTCCAAAAAAATAATGATGCTATGTTTGGTTGGAGGGAAGGATTGAGGGGGGATGGATGAGAGGATGGATGGATGAACATTTTTGTGTTTGGTTAAAGTGAAGGGAAGAAAGGGAGGAAACAACTTTATGTTTTTCTATCCGCCCACTTTTGGGGGGAAGAGATGAGAGAAAGAAGGCATAACTACCTATGTATTGGTAATTTACAATTTTAACCTTTTCAAAATCTTCGAAATAAATATCTACCTATTATAATTTTATATAAAAGGGTATATTGATAAAAATAATATAAGAACTCTCTTTCCCTTCCTTCCAACCAAACACGATAAAAGTATCACTCCATTCATCCTTTAAATTATCCATTCCATTCAACCAAACATAAAATGAGAAAGACACTCTCCCTTTCCTAGGGATATTTCATCCATCCCTCCTCCTATCATCCATCCAACCAAACAAAGCATGAGTGTTTGGTAAATAACTAGAACGGGCTTATGAGAGAAGGGGAAGTCTTTTAAAAGCCCGTTAAGCTAAAGCTAGAGAAAGAAGCTTTCAAAATCATGTTCTCGAGAAACTAGCCGTATTTTAGGTAATAAAACTCGGTTTACAAAATTGTCCTGAAATATTACACTAGATTTTCAATATTAACCTTAATATTCTATTGAATTGCAACCCTTATTTTTCCTTTCATAGCTGCTATGGGATACAAAGAAAATCAACAAAAGAAAAAGAAAACTCCATTAATGGCGAGGGATACCGGCAAGTATATTCTATTGCCGGTGATTTTTACTGCTGCCGTGATTTAAATAACAAATTCGTGTACAATTTTGCTTCCTATTACTTCGTGAAAATAGCTTTGCCGGTGATCTGTAAATGAACGTGAATGCTGGGAGTCTTCTACTCCCATTCATATTCCAATACTATAGTAGGTTTCTATTTGAACAAGTTCTCTTTGAAGTCTTCTACTCCCATTCAAATTTGAATATTATAACACTTTTTTCTCAACAAGTTCTCAGCTCTTCAATTTTTTATTTTTTAAAAAATCATGTGGGAAATCTGTGATACCCCCTAATTTTGGAACACGGATTGATCAAGTCCGCGCACAAAATCAAGGATATCAAAACAATTTAAGTATTTAACAAGCACAGAATACAAAGATGAATAATAAAGAATAAATAAACCGCTGAAGAAAACTAATAAATAAATATTACTTAATGATTCTCCAACAATTACAATTCGGAAATCCCATAACTCAAGGACCCCTTAAAACATTATCCAATAATCCAATACTATTTAAAAGTACACAAGATGAATAGACGAATGACAGTCTCCCAGCTGCGGATCCTCAACCTCGAGACTGGAACCTCTAATAACCTGAAAAATAAATCGTGGGTTAAACCCTACGAGCAAGTTCACTCTACCAGGCCTCTGAAAACCAATAAGCAGATCATCTCTGATCAAAACCATTGCCGAAAGGGATCATCTCTGATTAATTTTATGTCACAAACAGACAAAATAATTGGCTAAGCTCAAACACTACTGTGAGCGCGCCCACACTTAATTAGCTCACTTGAGCTCACACAAACGCACCCACACCAGATTAGCTCACTTGAGCTCACATGTATGCACCCACACCAGATCAATCTTCTGTTGACCAAACTTAATCCATGGTCCAGATTCACATGCGCACTCTTTTATGGCCTAGATCAGTGATGTAACCTTTTACTATGCATTCTACCACACTAGATCATACCTCGAATCACCCATCTCCTGATTTATGCGCCGATTCACACAGAGTGCATAGAATTAATTTAAAATTTAATAAAAATAATTCTAAAATAAATTCCAGAATATAAAAAAATTACAAAACAAATTCTAAAAATATTCTGAAAAGTACAAAAAAATTCCAGAAAATATAAAAACCAAAATTAATCCCCTTAGGTCACAGTTCCACCTATACATTGATTTTAATATATATATCCAACATCTACATATACAAATAAAATCCAATAATCCAAAATTAAAAATATATAATAGTTCATACTTTTAAATAATCATATCTAAACACAATTTAATAAAATAAATTAACTTGATGCTTTTAATTAATCCAAATTAATAATTTAATTAGAGCCTTAATACTTAAGATGAAATCCTTATAGGTTCTAAGAGGAAAAATAGAGAAAACTCGCCTGAAGGTTTCGAAACGAAACCGACGCTTCAAGCTTTAATTATCTCTTCCAATTCCGACGTCCTCCTTTTCAGATCCGACCTCCTCCTTGTCAGCAGCCCTTCTTCTTCCTCTCTGTCTATTTTATTTTTCTAACGTGTAAAACCTTTAACCCTAAAGCTTTATGTGTATTTTTATACACCTTAAATTCCAAATCCTATTCCAACTAGTATTATGAATTGAAATAATAACCTTTAAATAATTTATATCTATAAACATATATTATATATAAATATATATTCCTTCCATAATTAACTCATTAGTTAATTAAATCATATATACTTATAAATATCAATAAATATATATCTATATATATATCTTTCCATAACAATTATTAATTCATTATATTTATATATAATTATATATATATATATATATAAATATAATTGATACAAAAGTGATCATTTAAATAATTAAATAACCACGAACCTTCATTAATTAACCCAATAAGGTTTCATACAAGCCCAAGACCACATCTTTTGGTCCAACTTTCCTTAAGCCCAATCCAATTAATTTAAATAAATAAGATAATTAATTAAATACCGAAATTAAAATAACTAATTACATGAAGCACATAAACAAACAAGAATTTACAACTAAGTCATATAATACCAATAAAATCAACACACCAATAATTCAATCAATAATCAACCACACAAACAATCAATCATCATACATAATCACGAAATATAACTTAATTAAAATAAGATAATTAATCTAGCACTCAATAAAATAAAATAAATCATTGAAAAATAAAATAAAATAATTAATCCTAATTAATAAATCTTTTAAAATTATCGGGGTATTACAAAATCCAACAATAGTTTGTTTCAGATTGAATGCATGAAAGTAACTGTTAGACATGATTTGCAATTGTTGTTGTTTCATTTATAGGTTTGTATTATAGGAGCTTTTGATGTTTTTGGAGAGAAAATATTAACAGTAATTATTAAGAATATAAGTGCCAAGTTAAAACTATGTTAATTGTTGCAGGATTTCAAAAAATTGCATCCACCAAACAACTTCTATCTTTTTAATCCCTTTCATTAAAAGGCATTTTGCAAAGACATTCAAATAAAAGGAATTTTAGAATCAGGAAGCTCCCCCAAACAGGGCCTTAGTATACTGATAATCTTATTGATGCTCTTGTTGACAGGATTACAACATATTATAAGATCTCACAGTCTAGTTTATTGTAAATTGCAGCTATACGCTTTGATAAGATCATTAATTTTCGTTAATATTTTTTTTGATGGTATACTAAAATAATGCTCTTCATCTTGAGAAGATCATGAAAAAGCTGCCTGATCTTGATTTCTTGAGCATGACATGTGATAGCATAATCAAGATTGGTTGCTTTCCTACATTTCAATGTCCCTCTAAGAGATTATTACTATTTTTTATTTTACATTTTTACATCGAACCTCTAAGACATTTGACTGACATAAAATACTATCACAAACTTGGAAGAACTTGCAAAATTGATTTGTAACCCCTTTTGGCAATCTTTAGTGGGTATGCTATTTTTTTCTTCTTTTTTACTTTTTATATTATGATTGGATTTGAAATAGATGAAAAATTACATTTCCAGAAAAATTATCCCTGCATTATTTGTTGCACAGAAACATACATGCGCGCTTGGCAAGAACAATTCTAACATGGGCATTAGGGACTTTCAATGCAGTGCTCATTACTGGAAAACAGGTCCTTGCATAGCTCTCCATAGAATCTGCATACCAGATCAATGAAGACAGGACACTTTAGGTTCTTCCAGCAATAGAGAAGCTCTTCTACGTCTATCAAATCCTTCACTTTCCCCTCTTCCACAATCATCTCCGCCAAATAGTTCTCGAAACTCCTACACGCGTCTTCCACATCATCCTGACCTGAAACTTCCTTCTTAGCAGCTACACTCATTCTTACATAAGCTGGCGTGAGAGGCGATGGGAAGGGCGCTTTCTGATGTCCTGCATCTGAAAAGCTCTTGAGCTCCATGGCTCGGTCCATCTTTCTCGACTCTTTACGTGAACGCAAAACTGATAGTAATGCAAGGACTCGATTTCTCTTAGGCCTCTTTCTGACTTCGGTCTGGCTTCGGCGAAACTGAAGGGATTTTATAAAGAGGGGCTTTTTGAATCTGAATTTGAAGATTTGTAGTATTTTTCTGCATGGGTTGAGAAGCTTCTTGCATTTGAAGGAAACCGGAGCTTTCACTTTCATCGTTTAATGAATAAAGACAGAGTGTTGATCAAGGAATGAAAACAATGGTGACTTTTTGGCTTTTATGTTGCTTTCAATTTCGTTAAGAGAAGTTGGATATTCTGAGAAATTTGTTGAAATGACGGTTGGTGTATGAGAGAGATGTTAGATTGGTCGTTTGCACTTCTCTTTTGTAGGGTGGAAGTCTAATTAGGTCAGGTGCCAGTGGAGTTCACGTCTGGAAGGGAAAGTGGTATCCCATGAAATGAACCTCAACCTCTCTATCAACTGTTATTAGAACCAGCCAGGTAACAGCCAATTCTGATGACGTCTCAACCACATAGAGTTGTTGTAGAAAAACAAAAAATCAGAAGTCAACAATGTGTTGTACAGTAGTATATACTGGGCTTCAGCCTCGAGGATTGTAGCTCATGATTTACAATCTGGCCCAGTCATTGGTTAAGACTTGCTAGCCCAATGGTAGAATTGGTTGGGCCCATCTTTCTCCTACCTTTAAACCAAATAAGAAGGCTTCTGAACGCCATTTACTTGGTTCTTTCAAAATATTGCGTGTTGTTTATATTTAATTTTAACCACATAAGTTGGTCCATTCTCACTTCTCAGGATTACAAAATAGAAAAACACACACAAGGCAGATACAGTTTTTGATTACTATTCATTTGATTACCCAACAGCCTAGCACAATTTCACATGCTTCATAATACCTCCTCAGATGGGCCAAATCAAAATTTCACTTGGTTGATTTGCTTTCTTTTCAATATCTAGTATGGTTTGATTAGCTATTCTATACTCTGCAGTTTGTATGCTCATGCATTGCAATTCATATAAAATGCCCTCACCTGGTTATAATAATCATGAGCATCCATTATTTTCAAAATTGTCAATCTTGATTGTAGTTTATGAGGGCGGTGAAGTTATTGGAGATTAAGTGATACCGGAACACTGAAAAGAATGTCTGCATGGCATAAATAGAGTTTAGTTTTAGACTCTTTTACATTTGTGTAGAGAAGTATGGAGTGTTGTAGAAAGATATATGGAATTTTACAATATTGGAGACTTGGTAGAACAACAATTTATATTTATCTATGGATATATATATATATTTGTATAGTTGTAAATATCTGGGATATTTATGTGTAGAGTTTCTTGTATATAAGGTGAGATTTTTATTTGTAACAATGAGATACAAGACGGAGAAGTTTCAAGAGTGAGTTTAAGTTGGTGGCATTAAGCTAGGTTTATACTGACATGTCGACCATCAACAAATAAATTAATTAATTGCTGAAATTAGTTACAAGTGTAGGTTTATACTGAACTGTAACATTATACTTTTATTTGTTGCTGTAATTATACACATATGAGTTTTACTTGTTGCAATTGTATTATACAAGTATAACTAAACAAATCTAAAATCAAATATGTTTTCATGTAACTTCTGAGTATTGAGACTAACAACATTCTGTCAGTCCCTTTTAGTTTACATACTGAAAGTTGTAATTAGAATGACTAATTTGTCTTAATTATTATTAAATTTCTCTTCTAAATTTTATCATTTTTCTTTTTTGAAACATAAAAAAATAAAGTATGATAGAAATTCTTCATGGCCTTTCCATTATTTGTTTATATATATTTTTAAGCATTTCCCATTATTGAATGTCTAGCACTCGTGTATTGACTATACCTATAAAAGGGAAAGAATGTCATCATTCGTGGAGCATTGGAAATTTAGAAAAACAGCACTGCAAAGACATATGGGGCCTTAGTTGTAAATTATCATTATCCTTGGTATTGTCTTAGGAAATAATTGAATTGCGCGGTACCTGACAAGGTTTCGTGAATTCTTGACGTGGCAGCAGTCCATTGGACCAGAAAAGTTGGGTGAAGCAAAATCAAAGACCTCCCCCATCTTTCGATCAATTTCATATGTACCCATTTTTAGAGATTTTCAACATCACGCTGACTGCTATGAACTAATCCTGTTTATGTTAATTTAAGCATAAAAACAAAAACTGTGCTGTTGGTGATAATGAAAGATAGCCATTTAACAACCCATCTTCTTCATTTGCTTTTTCACAGGGACCATGTCATCCTTTTCCACGCCACATTATATACACATGTAGATGTATCATCATACTTTCTTTTAGAATTCATATGTCGTGTGCTGTTTCATTTTATGTTGCGTCTTTATATTTTTACATCGATTATGCAGTAAATCACATCGGTTATTCAACTATTTCACTATCGCTTATACAATAATTACATTACATCGTTATTTTACGGTGTTACATTTCATGATGAAATTATTATACTATGATGTAGTGCGTTCCACTAATGATGACAAACCAAAAGCACAAGGTCCCTTCTGTGGAGGGGATCCGGATTCGTCTATATAAACCTCTCCAAATCTATTTTCTCATCATCAATTATCAGTTATTAAATAGAGGGTAACAAATACCAACCTCAGCATACCCACACACACAGTGTTTGATGGGCAACTACAAGTTCAGATTGTCAGATATGATGCCCAATGCTTGGTTTTACAAGCTGAGAGATATGAGCAGAACCAAAAAGCATAACACACCTCACACTGTCAAGAAAAGCCTACCTTCAACTACAATATCACAGAAGTCACTCAATCTTTCTCAGCCTAGACACTCCTACTACTATACAACAGAACCAACCAGATCATCAACTGAAAAATTCTATAATTCACCCACAAATCCAAAAGCCTCAGATACCCATTTTCCTGATCCACCAAGAAAATCATCCAAGAAAAAAACCAAGAGAAAAACCATCTATAAGCCCTCTCCCAGACTTGTCACACCCTCAATCCGGACCAATTCCGAACCAGCTCTGGATCAGGACTACTTTCTCTCTTCTATAGATAGCTCTCCTGAGTCTGATCATCACTTCCATGAATCTACCTTATCAGAATTCGAGTCCGATACAATTGATGGTCCTGACCCATTCAATGGACTTGCCTCGTGGTCCAGTTCTTGCAGTTGCAGAGTTGGTTCTTCGGCTTCTGACATCATAATCGACATGAATGAGAAATCATCATTCACTAGGAAAATTGAGAAGCTAGACTTGTTTGATCCAATTTCAGAGCTAGAACTCCCTCCAATCCTGACAAAGCCAGCAAAATTCAACGACGCCAACTTGGAATTTACCAAGTTTACAAGAAGTTCATCAAAATTGGAGGACTTGGAAGCTAATGGTTCACTTTCTATCGAGGTTGTCAAAGAAGAGGATAGCTTTAGAACTCAGAAACAAACTAGAGCTAGTCCAAATCCTGTCCTTCGAAAGCAGCCCAATTCCTACTCAACCGGAGTGAAGCTCAGACCCAATTCTCCGCGAATCGCCAGCAAGAAAATTCAAGCATGCGGCCGAAAGAGTGTGTCATCGAGTGCAAGCTCAAAGTCGCGGAGAAGAAGCTTTTCGCAGAGCTTTGCAATTGTGAAGTCGTCGTTCGATCCTCAGAGAGACTTCAGAGAATCAATGATGGAGATGATTGTGGAAAATAATATCCGGGCTTCGAAGGATTTGGAAGAGCTTCTTGCTTGTTACCTTTCATTGAATTCGAATGAGTATCATGATCTGATTGTTAAGGCCTTTGAGCAAATCTGGTTTGACATGAATGATTTTAAGAATTAAAATTCCAGTACATTGTAAATTTGTATAATCTTATAAGAATTGCCACTCCTTTCTAAACATGTAATTTTTTCTAATTAGAATTTTTTGGATCTCTTATTATCTTTAGAGTTTGCTAGATTAAAAAACAATTATCTTCAAGTGTTTATATATGTTTCTTGCCAAAAGGAACAGCCTTTTGTGTTTTTCAGTACAAAACTCAACAGAGTGTAAAAAAATATAATTTGCATTATGTGATTGTTTCTTTAATTTTTTATTTATTTATTTTTAGTTGGTACTCACACACAACTTAAATTCCTGATCTCCCTTTAAGAAGAAGGTCACTGTCTTATTGGTGTTTCTTCAATTTCTGAGGAAGAGTGAGAAAGTCCGTGCATAGTATTAGAAAGTTTGTGCAAATTTTGGTGTGTTTTGTGTTTGATCATAAAAGTATAAAGATATAAAAATTAGAATTTTGAAAGTAAGAGTTCACTTTGGACAACCATCTTTGTAATTGTAGAATAATTATTTTAAATTCATTCAGGAAAAAAATATATATATATATTTTAAATTGTATAGTGAAATTTATGGTTTGTCATTCTCCTCCACAAGCAAAGGATTTCCTTTAATCTAACCTTTACATATATGTATTATTTGTCTATGTTTTATTTTATTTTATTTTATTTTCACTGTATGGTATCTAAATTCTTAAAATTGGATTGGAAAATTAACAGAATACATACGACTGTGTTACAATACTGGTGCTGGGCCATGCCCAAATCAAATCAGACTACTTTGTTTTTACTGTACTAAAGTAAAAGGCCTCACTTGACCACTTCGTATATGTACGATAAATAAATCCAAAAGTACTGCAAACTGACAAATTCTTCTGCACAACTCCATTTTATTCGGAAGAAAATAACCGCCTGGGGTCAACCCTAGGATATTATTTTTTTACCCTTTGTCCATCTTCCTAAAAATTTTTGAGGCTTCTCTTACACCAAACTAAGCACTTAATGTTCCACCAATAAGAAATTGAAACTATATAGGTTTATTTTTCAAGTCGATATGTGTCATCGAACGAATTTTTATTCCCAAGTGTTACTGCATCAAAGTGAAAAGAATCCTTCCACTATCTACATTGATTTGGAAAATTTAAAAACCATTTTCTTAAGAAATTAATTAGTTTTTGCATTATGCTACTCAGGTCAAGGGCTATGTTTACCCAAAAAAGTTGTGGAGATGAACTCACCATGACTGTAGAATCTTTAAACATATACCGAGCAAAAAAATTAGAATAATATTATACAATCGAATCAGCTTGTATTGCTCTTTGTGGAGATGAATACATCATAACAGCATAATCTTTAAACATATACGGAGCAAAAAAATTAAATAATGTTATACAAGTCGAATCAGCTTGTACCGCTTTATCTCAAAAAAATAATGGACCTCACAACCTTCCGTCATTCCATGTCAGCGAACTACTTGAATGAGACCTAAGTGAGAGAGCTTCACGGAGAAGCCAATTCTGAAGAGGGGTAGTTAAAATTGATTGAAGCTGAAGCTTGGCATGAGCTGGTGCATGCCATAGTCATGAACCCTACATGGAAATATGGAAATGCTCAAACTCAATAGTCAGCTTTTAGATGATGATTTGCACCCCCAAGCCACAAGCATAATTATGGTATCATCAAATAGATTCACATGTTAATAGAGTGTAAACTGCAAATATATAGATAAGGCAAATGAGCAATGTAAAGCACACCTTTTGAGTTTGCGTTCTTGTCTAAAGTGAAAGGTCTAGAATATAAAAAGTCCAATATATATATATATATATATATTCAATGGAAGATTAACATAGTACTCCTTTTACAATATGGATATATTTTACATTTTAATTAGAATAATTTTGTTACAAATTCTATATAGGAAAAGATTATTGTCCCCCAATCTTGTTATTTTATCTCATGCACTTACGCATCATGTAAAAAATGATTAAACTCTTATCCTTCGTAATATTAGTCATGTTCCTTTTAATTAGTGATTTATATTATAAAAATGTTGTAATTTGAAAGCGCACATCACAGTATTTTTGTAAAATACAAAATTAATTGAATGTGCTGTCTGGCATGATAGGATTTTAGTCCTTTCAAAAGATACAATATTGAATGCAAAGAATGTTTTCAAAAGAGTAATGGTATTTGTACCGATTTATTACACCGAAGTGTTTTTAATTGATTATTTATGCATAGTATATGTAAGTGGAGGGCCCTGTGCTATCTGGCATGATAGGATTTTAGTCCTTTCAAAAGATACAATATTGAATGCAAAGAATATTTTCAAAAGAGTAATGGTACTTGCATCGATTTGTTGCTTCGAATTGTTGCACTGAAGTGTCTTTGATTTGTTATTTATACACAATATATGTAAGTGGAAGGTCCCATTTTTTTATTTGCGTATAAATTAACCTATTAAAATAAATATATCTCAAAATTCGTTATAATAAATTTCATAAATAAAGAAGTACAATCCTCTACTTATATATATTATATATAAATAATCGAAACATTGGAACAATTCGCATGTGTCATTACTCTATTCAGAAAGCTTATAGGATTGGGTTGGTTGAATATTGTACCACTGCATTAAATAAAATTGATTGATTGTAAGCTACGGCAACACATGCATAAACAGTATGGGAAAGAAAGAGGTGGTTAGGCATACTCTCACGTTTGAGGAAAGTCAATTGAGGCTACCCCATCATACTATAAATTATGCCAGATTTTGTGGTGTTTGTCTTGCAGTCTAGTCTAATCGGATTGTCAAGGGTTCAAAGTATAGGGGCTGTGAATATATTTTTTGTTAATTAAAAAAATAAAAATAAAAAAGAGTTAAGAATACAATACTGACATCATATAATTTGATCAGTGTATATATGATATTTTTTCTTCATATATATATATATTAGTTTCTTAAAATTTATTTTATCATGTAATTTTTGTACAGTTAAATGAATGAACAAATGTGTTTGGGTCTATATGATGTGATAATTTACTTGTTATAAATTTAATAAAAAAAATTAAATTAATAATATTACAAGAAAATATATAATATTTTAACTTTTAAAATGAGATATTTACTTTGAAATAACTTAAAATAAAAAGACAGACCTTTAATTTGAGAGGGAAAGAATAATAACAATAAAGATAAAAATAATAAATGTATGTAAAGTAAACCTTGAAGCACATATATAATATAAATCTGATCTTGTATGTTTTTGTCAAAAAAAAAAAAAAATCTGATCCGATTGATTGTACTTTTTTGAGTTGCACCGCGTCGGTGGCTATGACTAAACATGGTTTCTACGAATTGGTGGTGGTTATTTATTTTTTTTAAGTTCAGGATTTGGTGGTGGTTATTACTAAATAAAACGGAGTTGTTAAAATTCAAGCAAGGAAAGATGACTCAAATACGAAAATGGTTGCTTTATGCAAAATACGGGAGTATCTAAGCGCAAATTGCATAAAACTCCCTCCATTTTTAAACTTTGGCATATTTTTTATTTTTGGCACAAGACCTCCTTACAAGGGGGAAAAGAAAAAAAAACAGGCCTCAAAATCTATGAAATATCCAATTGTTTGCAAAGTGATGATATAATTATAAAAATGCCAATTAATATAATTTTGAGAAAATAGTTCCTTTAATATAAGATAAAAATTAATACAAATAACTCATTCGACATAGTGTTTATAAAAATTATTTTCAAAAAAAAAAAAAAATCGGTGGTGCATCTGTAAGAAAATGAAAATACTTCAGAACAATTTTTTAAAAAAAAATTTAATTTTTAAAAATTAAAAAGGAAAAAAAATTCTAAAATAAAAATTATTTTTAAAAAACTAAAATTTTATAAAATTTCTAGTTAGGGGTCTTTTGTCATTATAACATTACTTTGTAATAATATATAGTTTAGATGTTTAGGCCAAATTTCTTACAGGAAATTTTGTGACCAAATTGGAAGTGGAGGAAAATTTTATGCAATTTGCCCTTTTAATTACGAGGGAACTTATTGCAACACCATGAATACATAATGTTATCAATATGTAAGAGGACTAGATAGATTATAACCCAACCATTTAAATCATAAGGAACCTTATATTATTATTACTATTATTTTTCTTTTTATTTTCCCCATCTCTCTTCACTCAATCAAAACTTTTAGGCTGCAAAACCTCTTTCAATTATCATTTTGGTAAATATTTCAAGAGTAAAAAGCAACAACCACCCGACCTACACCAACTCATAAATGAGGACACTCTTATTGCAGCCAAAAAAACATAATAAAAAAAAAAAAGAAAAGAAAAGAAAAGAGTTTAAAGATACAGTATATAGGTAAGGAATCAACATGTCGGTATATATCCTTTCCCAAAACAGGGTCCCTATAGAAAAGGAAAACACATGCGATGAGTGAATTCAGTCCTTTGAGGGCCAAACAAGCATTTATACTAGGACTCTCCACTCCAGTCCAGGACTTGCTACTCAATCCCATCACCACCCATAGCCATGATCCATCCATTTCTCTCCTTGTCGCATATACGTTTGTGTCTACACGTGTGCTACAAGACAGACCACTCTCATGCCACATCATTGGTTTCACGAGCAAATATTCTTTTTAGTACAATATACGTGTCCGAGAATTGTGAACCCTAAGATGCAGTACAATATCGAAATGCTTCTAATCCACTCACTCGGTATTACAGTACATGTGTCAATTAAGCACACAATAGTGGGTTGGGAATAGAGGGGATTTTGTCATGATCCTATATACCGAAACAATTCTGTGTAGAAACTTTATACAGGGTATTATGTCTGTGTATCAAAATAGTACCGTTTTGATATACAAGATCAATACCTTAGGGAATCTTGATTCATTAAAGCTCCATAAAGAATTGGATATATAACAAGAAACCTTCACATGAAAAGAAGCAGCAAGGCATCTTTTTGTATATAAAGGAATAGAGGAGCATGAGGAAAGCCAATTACTAGGCAGGCCACCATGTTGTTTTTGAACCCCCACCCATGATGATGAGTCTCTTTCTCTGTAGAAAATGAAATACTCCTCCTCAGGACTACTTACTTTCAAACACTACTCAATTAATAGTGACTTTATTGTTATATAGCTCTAGCCCCCTCTAAATTTAGAGATTGAGGAGACACACAAAACTGTGATGTCTCTTCAAATTGAAAGAAAGTTACTAACAAGTGCTATGATATGATACTTTATCCCATATAAGTGGATTTATAAAGCCACCTTTACTAAAAGTTGCATGGAACATCATAATTCATGCTAAAGCTTTTTATATAGTATTAATTATAAACAACTGATCGAGCATGCAAATACGGCATCAATCTCTGCGCCTGCTGTTTTGGTGTCTGCAATTTAATCAAATCAATCATAACATGTTATATCCCATAATAAAAGGGTTACTAATCACTTCGTTAAGGTAAATGATTTGCATGAAAAATGTCTCATGAACCATAAGACACAAATTTTATGTGTTTACCTCATCTCGTTTCATCATTGCATGGATTACATATCAGGACCCACACTTCGTATCGTGAAAATATTATTCGTTTTACATACACTCCGTACTTACTGTTTACAAAACGCTTCTAGGACGCGTTCCTGGTAACCATCAACAATAGTGATGATGAGAAGTGAAGCAAATGGAGAAAGGAGCTACACTTTATCACTCATATAAGACTTCTTAGAATTTTGATGCATGTCTCCTTTCAATCTAGTGAATGAACATGTCGGGGATTTTTTTTTTTTTTTTTCACCACCCAAGGCTTTAGCCTAATGATATCTCATCTCCCTTCCAAAATATATGATAAGATTTTAGCTTAGTGATATCTCATCTCCCTCCTAAAAATATGATAAGAGTTGGAGTCCCTTGAGTTTCTTGCTATGGATAGGGGTATGGAAAAAAATCATCAACCCGAATAATCAAACCGGACTGGACCAAATCGGACAGTCTGGGCTGGTTCCATAGCGGTTCGGTCCGGTAACGGTTTTAAAATAATGGAACCTTGAATTTTTGATTTGGTCCAGGATTAGGGTCCTATAGGAACGGACTGCCCAGACCGAACCGTTATAATATGTATACAAATATATGTTATAGCTGTACCTATATATTACTCTTATACGTTATAATATATTATATAGCTATACATATATAGTACTCTTAATTTTGGAAGAGATTTCGGCTCAACGATCAAACGGGAGCCAACATTCTTTATTATTTGATTCTTTTTTCTTTTTCTTTTTTTATCCCAATATTTAGATTTTTGGGTGCGTGCTAACATTCCTCCACTATCTCATTATTTTTCTTTGCTCACGCCGCCTCATTTACTTCTTAGTTCTCATAGTCGCGGGATCCAGTTGTTTATCAATCTCTCTCAAGCAACCTTCGAAGTTCAGTCATCGCCGTCTATTTTTTATCGTTACTATCGGTGACATCTTCTTTTTCACACTCTCACCTCTTTTCTCTCACTTCCAATTCACATATCTCTATGTCCCACGGCGTGTTTACACCTCAAGCACAACCAACAACCACAAAGAATCAAGTTTCTTAGTTTTCAATCACGGATTTGTCATCATTTTCAGTTTCAGTAAAATTCAACCTTATTTTAATTTTTAGGGTTCAGTTTTTGGGTCTATTTCACCCACTTTCCCTTCTTTCTTTTTTTCTTTCTTTATTTTAGTCTTGGATTCGGGAATGTGAATGCTTTTATTGATATTTTTGTTGTATATACAATTTAAGAAAAAAGAAAAGGGAAATAAAATTCAACTACAACCATGGAACCGAATCGAACCGAACCAAACCCTTTTTTCATGGTTTGGGTTGGTTTGGTTTCAGATTTTCTAGAACCGTTGGGAGCAGTTTAGTTTCAAAAATTCTCAAAACTAGACCGTGTGCACCCCTAGCTATGGATCAAGATTTGTAATCGAGTTTGTCTTGAAACTATGATTCAATGTGTATACAATAAGGCCCGGTGCTCTCAGAATTGGGCAAGTCAGCGCAGGGGAGGAGCCAGAATTTTATTTCAGAGGGGGCACAATGTACTTGTTAAAAAAAAAAAAAATTAATAAACATGACAAATAGGAAGTATAATTTTTTTAAATCAAAAAGGCAAATAAGAAAAAAATAGTTGTAAAATAATATGCTAAATAAATACTGTAAAAAAATATAGTTACAAATATAAGAATCAAAATAATAATTAATAATACTTTAATTAAATACAATCACAAATGTCATTGATAAAAGAAATAAGTTTAAAAAAAATAGAAAAATACATAATTATACATAACTGAAAAAAGAAATTTTTTTTGAAAAAGGAAACAAAAATTAGAGAAGGAAAAATATATTATATATTTGAATAAGGGATATACGTAATTTTTTTTTTTTCAAAAGAAAATTATAAGAATTTGAAATTTTGAGGGGGCCATTATTTAAAATTACCATGAAGTATATGTATATATAAAAATATGTACTTATATATATTAGGTTGGAGCAAAGTGAGGGGAGGGGGACTTGCCCCCTCTGGGCCTTAATTGGCTTCGCCCCGAGTCAGCGTGTGATCCATTGACTGTACAGTCCAATGCATAAACATGAGCCCTATTGCCATGTGTGTGGCTTTCACTTTCACCTTATACCATGTCAGGCCTTCAAGTGTAACTGGACCTACTGGAGTGGGCTATGTTTGAGTGGCTAGGGTTGCTCTTGTCCCTGGACTCTGATTGCTGCATGTCGTGTAGTCCTGACCATATCTTTATTACACAGCGTAGCTAGATATCCATGTTATCTTGATAGTCATGTTAGTGTAGATATCTTGATAGTCTAATGAATTAGTGTTTCCGGGAATTTTGGAATGCTAGATTTTAACTCTCTGTATTTACTAATCTAAATTCTAACACTTCTTGCCTTATTAAAAAAAAAAAAAAAAAAAAATTTATTTCAAATTTTCAATCTAATTAAAAATGCTCTTGGCTCTTGAAAGCCTTGTTCTAATAATAATTGTGGACATGTCACCTTTTTTTTTTTTTTCAATGATTGTTGACAGTTGACACTGATAAAGGGGAAACATCATCTCTCACATTAACAAACCAAGAGTTCTGTACAAGCATATTTAGTCTCACGCATAAGACACGCACATGTATATTTACCACCTTTATTAGTATATCTTCGAAGAAGTATCCATCCTTTCAGTTTCATGAGAGCTGAGAACTAAACTCTTTTTCCTCTATGCCCTTGCCTCGTACCGCCATCACCTCTAGTTCTCACAGAATAGGCACCTCCAACTAACCGTGATGCCTTGCTGGAGACATCACAAGGTGTCTGAAACCCGATATTTTCCACGGCCCCAACAGTCTTGAACAACCGTCTCTTATTCAACTCTTCCACCAATGACCGGTGCAGCAACTGGCTACGCATATCCACCAAGGACCGGTTCCTTGTCAATCTATAGCTATCCATCATCCAATTCTCTTTAGAAGTAGAAGGTCTTTGTGAATCTAATAAAACCTTGCTTTGCTTGTAACAATTTCTAGCCACCCTGGTGCTACAATTTTCCTCAGCACAGAACCGAGTAGCGTTGTGGGCGTTTACGGTAGGATGCTGATTTTTCCTTGCAGGGCTCGTAATCAAACCGTGTTCCTCGCCAGAATAGTAATTCATGTTGGAATATTTTCCAGACTGCAAAGAGCTTTCAGAGCTTGTATCATCAAACAAGTCATCTGGAGACGGAAAGATTGTTAAGCTTTGTGTTTAATTTAATCTATGTAAATGAAATGGAGAACAATTAGAGAGAATACACAATAATACACTATCTCGACAAATTAGTGCTAGTTAATTATCCTGATAGGCACCCTTAAGATTTCCCTCCATATCTTAAATGTTTACTCTATATGAATTTGTTTAGGAACTTGAAATAAATATGATTCCTCTGGAAAAAGAGCAAGAAAGGCAATTCTCTTTTTCTCTTTGCAAATCATGAAAAGCAGAGGATTGCAGAATCAGACATGTGTGATATGACCCCATAAGTCCCAGCCAGATAATTATGCTACTAAGTCTGACATTAGTGCCACGTTGTATTGTCCAACAGAATTATGAAGCACATTACTATTTGACCTATGTCACAACCCACATTGACCTAGTAAAAAAGATTACGAGAGCTAATACCTTGGAGCCAATCACAACTGCGAGTCCTTCCATCAGCCCCATGAGAAGTGATCAAGCCTGAGTGCGACACTTGGGACGATGAACAAGAAGAGTAAGAGTAGAAAGGATGGTGGTGCCCGTCGTCATTCTCTTGGTAATTAAGTATATTGCAGTGACCATCTGATTGAGGCTGGGCCCATTTCTTCCAATCCGGTACCAAAGCAGATAGTTCTCCATCAATCATATCAGCTATTTCAAATGGTTCCCAATCAATGATCTCCAACTCCTTCACCATTTCAGTTGCAACATCCGTTGAAGTGTCATTTAAAATGTCAAATGGAAAGTATACATGTCTAACAGAACCTGCAAGACAGAAAATATGAAAACCTTAACCACACGAACTCTCTTGCAACACTCTTAGACCTTAGCTATCAGCTTCTGAAAAGACAATTAATCTAGGGTTATCTTCTAGACCAGACTTGGGCATACCAAGTGGAGGCCAAGCCTGACCCATATGCAACTCAACTGGTTGCATCACAATTACAGACATGAGCCGCTTTTAATTGTCTATTTATCTATCATACTCAAGGTAAATCTCTTTTTTATTTTATATATTGAGTATTTGTGAGCCAGAGAATACCCTAAAGCATTCGTGTGTGCAACAACAACAAAAACAAAAACAAACTAATGTTTCTGAAGTCTTACCTTTTTTATCAGCAATCTGCACTTTAAGAAAGATGGTGTCATCTTCAGGATTCAACTTCCCTGTTATGGTCATGTTGGTCCGGGGTGGATCTTCACTCAATTGCAGTTCCTCAAGCCCCAAGTTATCATTCAGAAATGGCTTCGGACTTTCAAGCTTTGTTACATACAACAGTTCGTCTTCGCCACATGCAAGAAAAGGGTCAAGCAATAGTTCTTTTGCTGATAATCTTTTTGAAGCAGTTGCTAAGCATTGTCCTATGAATCGCTGTGCATCTAAGTCCTGAATTTTGTAGAATGCTCTTGGTAGCTTTCCCTAAAACGAAGAAAGTGGCATGTAGGTCAGACTTCCACTGATATTTATACTTATTGCCACATTGAAACCGGACCTTACCAATGTCACTTTCTTGTAAATTTGTGCTGGGTTGGTGCATTCGCTGTAGGGGTAGTCCGAAGTAAGCATCTCTAGAACACACATCCCAAATGAGTAGACATCCACCAGTTCATTGTAACTTTCCTCGTATAGTTCTGGCGCCATGAACTCTGGTGTGCCTAGCGTTGTGATGAAAAATTTAAAATTATAGTAGATAGTTTAGGAACGAAACAAGCAAAAGCCCAAAAAATATTAATAATTAAAAAAAAATATATCCGGATTTAGTTTCATTTACTGAGAGTTTTGACCATACTTTATGAATCTACTGAACTGTGGTTGCATTTTTCTACCCCTGAAATATTAGGTAAGGTCTTTGTTGGGCCTCTTGGCCATGGAAGATTACGTTAACTACTACTTTTTTCTTTCCTGTCCTAAATAAATTTAAGTCAAACTACCAAATTGATGTAGTTGGTATTGAGCTATATTCTGTAAGTTAATGAAATTAAAAGTTAGAAGATCAGTTATTATCCAACCTTCTCTCATTGTTACTTCAAATCTTGAATAACAGAATCCATATAGTAGTGTAAATAATTAAGATAGTTTGAACTGGACTGAGTATTTTTTTTAACAAACAATACTTTAATAAAAGATTAATGACTAATTTGGATAATGTAATATCACCAATCTTACTTCATAAAGTGAGAAAGTTTTAAGGCCAGCTAGGATCTAATAAAAGCTATGAATAGTTGTATAAACCTTATGGTGATAATCAAATCGAAATGGAAGTTGTCTAAGACAATAAATGCAACAATGGTGAAGACATGAGTACCAATAACACTGTGCGCTGTTCGGGAACCGCGAAGAATTGCTGCAAGGCCTAGATCACCAATCTTCACTTGTCCAAGATGACCGTTGACAAAGATGTTGTCACACTTGAGGTCTCTATGGATAACTGGGGGATCATGGTCATGCAGATAAATAAGGCCAGCTAGGATCTGGCGGGCCCAAACCTTAATGGCTCGAATGTCCACTCGCTTATATTTCTTCCTGTATCTGCAACATATCCTTTTGGTCATTAGCCTATTATCTAGTAGTACATGTAAAAAAAAAATTAAAAAAGACATGCAATTAGCTAGAGGAGCATAAACACACAATTATAGTTTTGTTTTCTTTTTTCCCCCTCCTTTTCAGCTTCTTCGTAGGCACTTACAATGGATGCATACATAGGTGCTTTTATATGATTAAAACATTCACAAGTGGGAGGAAAAGAAGGTAATAAATACACCTTGTGGCAGTTAAACAACGCACGAATTAAATAAATTATAAATACTTTTACACTTGGACAACACAATAAGATAAAATTATATAACTTTTGATTCAGATTGTTCATTTATTAAATATTTTTTAGTAATATATAGTACTATTTCTTTCGTTGTCATAGTCATCATTAAACAAAATTGCAGGTAGATCCCATCTCATGTATGAGACCTACCTTTAGAGAATCTGCTCTAGATGTATGTTCATTTACAAATATAATTAAATGATGAAAAACTAAAAGCAATTTTGTTGGTCGTGTAGTTCAAGAACATCATTGACGTAACAATATTGGGAATTAATTAACAAATATAATGGTAAGGATTATTCCAAGATAAAATCAAAGGCCTCCATTTTCAAAGCACACATGCATGTTAGAGTGGAGTTTTGATTACAATAGAAGTTAGAAGATTACTCTCTGAGGGTGCCAGAGGTGAACATCTCGGTGATGAAATTGAACGTTCTTCGATCAACATCGATCCAAGACGTGTAGAATTTGATGATCGAGCCATGATTGAGGGTGCTGAGGAGGTGAACCTCCGAGTACAGCCGCTGTAAATCCTCCGCTGACCTGAGCAAGTCATTGAGTTTAACCTGGCTCCATGCCACTTCCATTCCAAGAACCTCGTCAATCGCCCTGTATACCGTTTTCATTGCACCTTTCCCAAGAACTTCGTCAAACTGTCCATGATACATACAAGACACACACGTGTGTCATTTCACAGAATTAATCAATCAACCAGTTGGTCAATTAATATGATAATTGATAATAATACAAAGATCAATCTTTAACGATATTTTAGTGTTTAAGTAAACAGATGGGAATCTAAAACTACTTAATAATTCAGACAGAAGAAAAAAGAACCAGAACTTGGACATGATTGTCTTAATACAACGATATTGCATTTAAGAACATCTGAAAATCATCCTAGTCTTAGTTTCTACTTCAATTAAGCAAAATTGTTGATGACAATGATGAAGTTATGTACTACTTCAGATGTGCCATCAATTTTTGGTGCCCAGATTAATGTGAACCGTATAAAATCGCTATATTGTGGTAATTTTGAGACACACGTCCCGGTTTTTCCTAATTAACCATGTTTCTTTTATAATCATTTGAAGCAATGAAAACCCACAAGATGAAAATTCCATAGACTACAAAAACCATTGAAGGAGAAAAAAAAAAAAAAAAAAAAAAACCAATAACAAGTGGTCGTAATTTATAAACAAATATTATATTATGGTATGACTTTTAGGAAGTGCTCAGTAGCACAATAAATTATAACACCCTCTTCGTCATGCTGGAAATGAAACTTGTGTGTTCTTTGACATTAAAAATGTTTAAAAATTGAAATATGGCAATTAAAAAATCCAAAAAGAAAAAATATCAAACATGTTAAATGCATATATATGAATAATGAACTTACACGAGCATAGCGACCAGAAGGATCAGTTTCAGCATATCCATGATCGGACTGTGCTTCATTGGTGTGCTCGGTTACCCGTCCCTTGTACATGTTCGAGTATTTGAGCTACTAAAAACGTTAATTGTGACCCGAAAATCTGAGCTGAGTTGATCAATCAAAAAAGATTATGACTTATAAATAGAGTTTAGGTATTTATCTAGAATTTTGAAAGAAAGAGACTAGGTTCTAAATCCGAGGCTTTCCTTCGTGATTTTCATAAGAGAAGACGCCGAAGAGGAGCCAAAAGAGTCTTGAGTAGTCAATCCTTAGCATAATCCAAGCCATCTCCACAACAGCGCGTGAGAAGACGTAGTTTTTGGCAAACATTTGATGTAAAAGTAATGTGGGGTTGGATTTGACAGCAGAAAAATGAGAGTGGCGTGTTGGTCCTATAAGAGGTTGATATCTTTTTCTCGAAAATTGGACTTTCCTGGGAAAATTAAATTCGTCGAGGGTTTTGGAAAATATAGGGATAATATCGGGAATTTAGAAGGAAAAAAAAAAAAAAAAGATTTTAGAACAAGGATTGAGACAGTGGTAGGGACCTGAACTTGAAGAATCTCCGGCTACGCTTTGCTGGTTCCATTTGTGGTTGATGATACAGATGTTGGAGAGAGAGTGTTTAGAGAGAGAAAATGTAAAGAATTTGAATCAAAAAGTTTGAGAGAGAATGCAAATTGGTAGAGAGAGAAAGTGAATGAAATTGTTGGAAGTGGGAGCGCCTGTGGAGCTCCGACTGGGGAGGGTAAATAAGAGCGACGGTAGAAGAAACTGTGTGTATGTGGTGGGGCCTACATAACGGAGATGGCATCTTCCGTGAGGGTATGATGCGGGTTGGACGTTTGTTGATGACGTTACAGTTGAACGGCGTTACATGGTGACACGTTCCAATTTGTGACGACGCCTAGCTTTGAATATTTTGTAAGTGAATTACTTACGGCTCAACCGCTCGAGTCTCAACCCCACTTGGCAACAAATTTTGACATGGTACCGCACTACAGGGTTTCAACTACTTACGATTGGATACTACTGCGTACAATATATATATATATATATATATATTTTAATGAAATTATTATAAAATAAATGATGTTAATGATTCTTATTTATTATTTAATAGAGTCAAAATTTTATAATTTAAAAAAAATAAAATTAACCAAAATATTAATGTGAATGTTTACTCTCACTGAGTCGTCACTTTTAGGTCCCTAATTCCCTTCCTAAGAAAGCCAAGAAGCCCCCATGAGGTAAATAGGAAGAATAAAGCCAAGAAGCTAGCCCCCATGAGGGCAAATTCCCCCTCTGTCGGACGCATTCATTTCGGCTTCTAATGAGAGTTGGGTCAGCTCAATCACTAGCAACCAGGTCGGTGACAAAGAAGTTATAATATGGAGCGGGTACCACTTGTTGTGCGCGAAGGTATTACTTTTTATGCACGAAAGTATCACTTTTTATACACCAGATATTACTTTTATTTTGAGTATAGATGTACCACTTTTATTCACATAGGTATCACTTTTTGTGCATCAGGTACCACTGTACAAAAAAGTGGTACTTATGTGTCCAAAAATGGTACCTCAGTAAAGATAAATAGTGTTTTTCCATATCTTCATTTTTAAAAAAATTATAAGACTTTGACTCAATCAAATAATAAATATGAATCATTAACATCATTTATTTGTAATAATCCCTATTTTAATAAGGTCACACATTTAATTGTATCTCAAGTTCTAATCTATCCCAATTACTTAATCGTGATGGATAAAACAATGTTATTAAGATTTAGGTACTGTTTGATAAAATAAAAAATTAAGCATTGAAATTTTCAAGAACTGAATTTTAAGTTATGAATATATTAATCTGTAAAATTGTTTGATACTATATTAATTTTAAGTGTTGATTTCATTAAAATTGTATATTAAATGCAAAATCTGAATGTTGCATATATTACATTTTTGCCTGCACATTATATTATTATAAAAGATACTATATTAAAACATAAACATATATATAAAATAATAAATTTTACCATATATATATATATATATATATCAATTTAACAATAGATATTAATGTCAAAACTATTCATAAAAATTTCAAAATCAAAATACAAAATGAATAAGTTATTAAAATGAAATATTTATGAGAAGGAGATTAGAATTCACGCACAAATTATTCTATTTTTACTTATATAATAGTTTTGCATCATAACAAGCATGATTGTTGATTATAAACTTGAGTGACCCTTTCAGTATATGTATATATATATATTGCTAAATATTATTTATGCTTACATTATTCGAGAAAAAAAGTAGAATGAAACATTTGAGAACTTGAAATAAACTTTAAAAAAATTTCATTGTAATATAAGGAGGGAATAGAAATGGAAAGTGCAAATAGAAATCCAATTAATATGGTTTAATTTGAATAGTACAATGGAGAATCTAAAATATAATATGTGAGGGTAACATTGTCATTAACAAAAAAAATTTAAGCTTAAAATCACTTACCGTCTTCTAAGATGAACGTTTAGCGGTTTTTGTCAATTAAAATTTTGGCGGCTTTGTGGTAGCATAAATAGTTATCAAACGCACTAATTTTAAAAAATCGCTTACGGTGTGATGAGTTAAACGTTGAATAACAATATCAAATATGCCTTTAATAATGTATTTCAAAAGAATCTATTATATATAATATTTTAGTCATGGAATGTATTGGACAAAGCAAAATTTTAATCTTGTCTAATGTATTCAAAGATAAGATTCAGTTGATTACGAATTATTATCTTAAAATTAATTAATGGTATTTAAAAATTTATTAATACGGATGAAAAATAAATATTTAAATAATAAAAGAGCATAGTTAATGTAGTTTTGTGTAAAAAAATAATAATAATAATAATTAATCTAACTTTTGAAGGTTCTGAACTTCTGTATTCTTAAATGTTGTGTATGTCATGGTCATCATCCTCATCAATTGGGCAAATGAGTTCTTTTTTTAACTCTTTTTTATCATAACTTATACTTTTTAAAATTACTTCTTATCCCTTCATTTTATGTTAGTTTTGCCTTTTTTGTCTTTTCATCCTCAAATTTTTCTTATACCTTCATAGAATAACTTTAATTATGCTTTTGAATTCGTAGAATCTGTATTGAAGTTTCGAAAATAAACATAACTATTTGGATGGTTAATTTCACCATCTTTTGAAAGCTATGGGTTTCATCGTTAAATACTTTATAATAATTACAGTTGACATGGTATATAGAATAACATACGAATGATGCAACACATCAAATAATGTCATAGTATATGTTGTATCAATCATAGTCACCGCCTTTGTACAGCTGTGATTTGCTGATTAACCAGTTTTAGAAAATACTACATTTTCAGCATAACAGGTATTCAGAAAGTTTCTAAAAATATAAATTCAAAAAATTGGAAAAAAGGAGGATTCTTGAAAGTTTTAATCCATTTATAGAGTAACGTTTTAGTTCTTGACCGGCTCTTTTTGAAGTGAGGTTGAAGAAGGGTGTGTTTGGAATATGCATATGTGTGTGTATATATATATTTTAAAAAAAATCCCGATTACTATTAAACTAGTTTCAAATTTTGTTTTTTCCTTTAGAAATTAAAACACTAGTTTCATTTTCAACTTAATTTAAAGATTAAATTGATGTCAAACTTTCTTTTAAAGCATGTCTATTTGTTTGCACTTAAATTGGAGATGGCGATTTGATTTCAAAAGTCAGAGTTGCTTAGTCAAATCTTTTTTATTTTTTTATTTTTATTTTTATGGTAATAACTCCCAAAATATTATTAGCGATTTACATTCTTAAACCATCCACATTTTGCATTGAAAGGAGAGGAAGAAATATATGCCTTGATAGTAGAGTTGAGTGATCTGTCAATGGGTAAGACATTTTTGAAGAATAATAGGTAATTTTATAATTACCTGAGTAAAAAATTTACACACGCAAACGAACAAGTAATACTAAGCTACATTCGTTGGTGAGAACGATTAAGTATTGAATGGAGCATATTTGAAGCCTCTTCTGTACATAAACACGAATCCAAATTCACCGATCGCGCTGCATGGTTTGTGGTATTGGTCGTGACCGCGGTAATCGGTGTAAATTAATCGATACAGATCATGTATCGAATTTGAAAAAAAAATTGCATATCGGAAAATACGACGAACCATCAAATCGAATCCACAATAATAAGATAAGAAAAAAAAAGTAAAATATGAATTTGAATAAATTTATTTTGGGCTAAAGGCTATATATTTTATGTCGTTCTTATTCCTTAATCCAAAGCAATTATTTGTAATGAACATCCCTCATAAATTCAAATTAAGATTACACTCTAAATAAAATAAAATTGATTTCAAATTAGATATTCAAATTCAAACAATTCCATACTCTATTTCATACTATCTTTTATTCTATCACATTTGTTTGTAGAATTGATTAGAGTCCAATAATCAAAAAGCTAGTGGTAATCTCATCATTGACTCATTAATATCGTTGTTGACGTTATTTCTTACTCATATAAAATAAAAATAAAAAATTATACTCACACACAGAGTTAGAAGTTTTAAATAATAAAATGTCCCATTTTAACAGTTTATTTTTCAGTTTGTTGAATTAAGTAAAATAAATTACATATGCATCAATTACTATTTTTCAAGTCTAAAATGCCCTCCAAACTCTTACTTTAAAATACTAAATTATTCTTTTTAAATCAAATAATATAATTTCTATCGTTACTTTTCTTTGTTTCTTAGTTATTTTTCCTCCTTTTTTTCTGTTTTTGAAATACCATTTTATTTATAGACCTTACCTTTTATTTTATTTTATTTTATTTATACACGTAACCTTTGTTTATTGGGGCATGATCTAATCATCATAAATAAAACGAAAAGGCCATTTATTTAGGAAAAAAAAAAAAAACGAAAAGGCCATTTATTCTGTAACGAAATTACTAAAATAGGCTCTCATATAAACTGACGAACAACTTGGAATTAGATTTTAAAAATGGAGAAGATTGATGAATCTAAAGGTACTTTAAGCCTTTGGTACCTCTTCGTCCTCTAACCCACTCAATTTTGAAAGGGTCCCACCATTTATTTGATTCTCATGTTCTCTTTCGCCCACTTTTTTTGGTGTCACAATCACTGCAACCCACTAATGATCTCAAACACCTTTTGTCTTTATATTACACTGTACATACACGTATGTATATTATAAATAATATAATTACTAATTTAAAGTCAATATTATACAAATAAAAAACAATTGAGTGAAATATTATTATTATTATTCCACTATTTCAAAAACCAACAAGAACAACCTCCAGTATGCCTGTCAATTGAGACTTGTTTCATTACACGTCTAAAATGTGGAAAATCTGCTGCAAATAACATCCAACATGCGGAGATCATCGGCCGACTGATGGCTATAAAAGTAATCTATGTTCTCAGCCAACAAATGCCTAAAGAGACCCTAGGGGATCAAAATAATTAAAATTTATTAGATAAATAAAGAAAAATAACATTAGTTAATTGGCTAGGTGGTAGCAGCCGAGAAATCGTATGAAAATATTATTCCTTTTGCATCACAGTATTTATTTTTCTTAAAATGTATCTACACTCTTAAAAAATGATCAGCATGAATTTGTCCACGCTTCATCCATTTCCGGCCACATCACAAGTATCATCCCAATTTATATGCCTAAA